AATCACATCATTCTATTCCCATTCTAACTCTAGCTACTACACCCTTTCTAGGATGCCCTTCAAGGCAAAACTCTTCCAGTGACCTTGATCCCTCTAATTGTCTCTTACATCCTCTAAAATCAGACTTTCATTCTCACTGCCCCAAAAAACTGCTCTATTCAAAAGCATCATTGACTTTCAAGTACAAAATCAGTTCTCAGACTTTTTACTGACTTATGAGCTGGGTTGACACAATAAATTTTCAATGTATTCCTTGAAACACACTTTAGTTTTTTTCTAATCCACAAACTCTCCTGATTTTCCTTTCAACACACTGGCTGTTTTTTCTTGGTATCATCAGTGATTCCTTACCTCCCAGATGTTATAACATTAGGATTTCATAAGTCAAGATCATTGAGCTTTGCTCCTCAACCTGCACTACCATAGTAATACCTCCAGGTACGTGACTTTATTTATTACATACAAATGAAACCTGGTCTTACATAGCACTCATTTTTTTCTTCATTCCATATGTCAACAGTCTAATTGAAAACTATTCCAGAATTTCTAAGAAATGTCCTAATTCTACTTGCATTTCTGATGAAGAGCTCACAACTGAACTTCTAATATAATGCCTCAAATATGTTTTACACACAGCATTTTTTGTACAAATTAATAGCTATGTTACCTCCTCACTCATTTAAAAAATCCTGGAGTCATCATTGGCTCTTGACTTTCTACCACGTTCCACATCCAACTGATGAGAAGAATCTTAAAATATATTCATAATGTTATCTCATTTCACTATTTAACTACTACTTCTCTGACCCAAGCCATGATCATTCTGTTTCCTAGACCTGAAACACCAGGAGCTTATATATCCAACTAAACTGCATGGGCCTAAGACCTCTGGCCACCCATGCCATTAGGTGCATCTAGAAAGATGCAGTAAAGGAAGCAGCTTTTCAGCAGAGAGGCACCAGGTGTTTCTCTTCCATGGGAGCCCTTGTAGTGGTCATGTAGCAATTTACATCATTATGTTGAGTAGACTGGGGACCTGGCAAAGCAGGCTCCAACCCTAAAGGAGGGATGGCAAATTACAAAAATCATCCAATTCAAGGAAATATAAACATTATTACGAGGGATTTCTGGTCTTCTGATAAAGTTTGCCATCAGCAATACTGCCTCGCAGCACCACTGCTATTTTAATTCTATCAAAGCTAGAAAGTTACCCAACAGCCAAGCTTTCATGCAGAAGGGGAAATGATTTTGTTAACTCTTTGATACTACTGATTCTGCAATAAATCTAGGTGGTACATTCTTGCTACTTCTTTTCCTGTAGTCTATCCTTAAAAAAAAAAAAAAAAGATTTATTTATTTGAGAGGCAGAGCTACAGACAGAAAGAGGGAGACAGAGAGAGACATCCTCCATCTGCTGGTTCATTCCCCAAATGGCCACAAGGGTCAGAGCTGGGCTGATCCAAAGGCAGGAGCCAGGAGCTTCTTCCAGGTCCCCCATATGGGTGCAGGGGCCCAAGCATTTGGGCCATCCTCCACTGCCCTCCCAGGCACATTAGCAGGAAGCTGGATCAGAAGTAGAGCATATGGGACCTGAACCAGCACCCATATGGGATGCCAGCATTGCAGGTGGAGGATTAACCTACTATGCCCTGGAGCCACCCCTGTAGTCTATTCTTAACAGAGAAAACTATATAATTCTGTAAAATTAAATGTCAAATCACAATACATTTCTACCCAAAGCCCTCCACTGGCTTCCTATATTAATCAGAGTAAAACCCATTGGTTCTTAAAAGCATGAGGCCTTACATGACTTAGCTTTCCACAATCTCTCTAAACTCCTCTCCTATTGTAGTCTTTCCTGTTTATTTTACTCCCTCCATATTTACAATTTTTCTGGTCTGTCAGTTGCTGAACATGTGCTTGCCTCAAGAATCTTGTTCTGTATCCCTCTGATAAATATATACCTCATTTACATTAATCCTGGTCAAATGACACTTTCCCAGTGAAAACATTTAAAATTGTTTCTAAAGAAATGTCTATTTCTAGCCTTTGTGATTTCTCTCAACAAGATTTAGCATTTCCCTATATATGAGTGTAGACTTTATTTTCTTTTCCCGTCAACTGAGGATAACCTTCAGAAAGACAGGACTTTTGTCAATTTATTTACTGCTTATCTCCAGAGTATCAGGTTTATAGAAGTTGCCCAATAAACATTGGTTGAACTTATTGGATTAATCTTTATTGAAAGTCTGATGTAATTTATCGCAAGGCATATCTCACTTGGATTCCATTTTAGTATGATTTACCTCTGACCTGTCTTTCGATAATCAAAATTTTCTAAAATTTTATAAATCTCTAAGTAGTCATTTATATGAATATTTTAAAGGCAGTGTATATCCAATTTAAAATTCTTAAATATGTACATGAGAACTAACTTCCTAATTCAGTTATAAATTTTTTAATACACTTTGTTACTTTTTTAAGATTTTATTTATTTATTCGAGAAGTAGAGTTACAGACAGTGAGAGAGAGAGACTGAGAGAAAGGTCTTCCATCTCCTGGTTCACTTGCCAAATGGCCACAACATTCAGAGCTGCGCCAATCTGATGTCAGGAGCCAGGTGCTTCTTCCCGGTCTCCCACATGGGTGCAGGGGCCCAAGGTCTTGGGCCATCTTCTATTGCTTTCCCAGGCCATAGGAGAGCAGCCAGGATTAGAACCCGCACCCATATGGGATGCCAGCACCACAGGCTGAGGATTAACCTGCTTCACCACAGCGCCGGCCCCAATCCAGTTATAAATTTGAAAGGATTTCTTTTGTGTAAAATACTTACGATGTTTTAAAAGGCAGAAGGACTCAGCATATGTGGGCTGTATTACTGGCACAAAGTTGATCCTTTTACTTTTTGGCCTTGAAATAAACATCAGTACTCAGTGAGCTTTGCACAAATAATTTGACTCTAACACGTTTATGAAATACTGATTTTTTTTAAATACATGATGAATCATGAAAATAATTTTCTCAGTTTCAAGGGTGGACAGACAATATTTTCTTAATTGTCTTGAAAGTCTTAAGCCCAGTGATTTTATTGTTACTTGTTCATTTATTTTTATGTGGCCAGCTGGTAATATATAATCTGATACTGTAACTGTACTAATATATATTCCTCACAAAGTATAACCTTAATAAAGGCTATTAAGATCAAATAATTTTATAAATAAAATTTGAGATTAAGCTTGCTCAAATACAAAGGCAAATAAAAAATTGATTTGAGCTTTATGAATAAAAGCTCAATAAAGTAATTGTAAAAGAGTTTAATGATACTTTACCAAAAACTGTGATAGTTAAAAAACATTAAACCAATTATTTTGTTCTGAAGAAATTTCAAAAAGGGAAGAATTTATTGGCTGAGGTTCTGTTCCTAATGTGGAGAATATGAGATTCCTATTACTTAATATATACCAATTAACTAGTATTAGCAAGTATTGTTATATCTTTTCTTTTTTTAACTTTTATTTAATAAATATAAATTTCCAAAGTACAGCTTTTGGATTACAGTGGCTTTCCCCCCCCCCATAACCCCCCTCCCACCTGCAACACTCCCATCTCCTGCTCCCTCTCCCATTCCATTCACATCAAGATTCATTTTCAATTATCTTTATATACAGAGGATCAATTTAGTATATACTAAGTAAGATTTCAACAGTTTGCACCCACACAGAAACACAAAGGATAAAGTACTGTTTGATTACTAGTTATACCATTGATTCACATAGTACAACACATTAAGGACAGAGATCCTACATGGGGAGTAAGTGCACAGTGATTCCTGTTGTTGATTTAACAATTAACACTCTTGTTTATGGCGACAGTAATCACCCGAGGCTCTTGTCATGAGTTGCCAAGGCTATGGAAGCCTTTTGAGTTTGCCAACTCTGATCTTATTTAGACAAGGTCTTAGTCAAAGTGGAAGTTCTCTCCTCCCTTCAGAGAAAGTTACCTCCTTCTTTGATGGCCTGTTCTTTCTGCTGGAATCTCACTCACAGAGATCTTTCATTAGGCTTTTTTTTTTTTTTTTTTTTTTTTTTTTTTTTGGCAGAGTGTCTTGGCTTTCCATGCCTAAAATACTCTCATGGGCTTTTTAGCCTGATCCGAATGCCTTAAGGGCTGATTCTGAGGCCAGAGTTCTGTTTAGGACATCTGCCATTCTGAGTCTGCTGTGTATCCTGCTTCCCATGTTGGATTGTTCCCTCCTTTTTAACTCTATCATTTAGTGTTAGCAGACAATATAAGCAGGGTACACATATAACTCAGAGCCCTTATTTTGAGATTCTCAAACCAAAATAAGGATCTAATTAGAATCCTATAGAATACTCAATAGATATATACATATTTAGTGTATAATACATGACAGCATATTATTATATTCTTATACACATCAAATAGAATAATTTGAAACATCAAAACACTTCCAACTAAGAAGAATCGCCACAAATTGTCTCTAGAAGATGCATAAAAGTAAATGAACACATAAAATGGTGATCCAATGAAAATAACTTCAAAATATATGCAAGATGTGAGGAAATAATTAGATATGAAAAATCTATCATATCAATTTTTCTAAATTCCAGACAAAGTAGCCTTAATACCTACATTTCCTTAAAGTTTCACTTATTAAGGAGGCTTTACTATGAACTTTTTCCTTGAAGCTTCCTAGGACTTTGCCAAGATTAGTGCAAAATCTCCTTACTATACTAAGGAGAATCAATCTTTCTCAGAAATGAACAAATTCCCACAATGCAAAAGTAGGTCTACTGAGACAGGGACTCTGACCCAGAACTAAAACTGTCTTCCCACTTTCCCCATCTGTGCAATCTTGGTGATAATTCTTTCATTAAAAAATAAATTGCTGCCTTCAAATACCATCATGCTTAACACAATAGTCATGGTTATCAAACTCCATTCTAGTCTGTGAACAAATGTATATGTTTTCATTTTACCTCATCTTGCTGTGAGTTTAGCAGCTGCAGCTTCATGTGCTTCATATAGGCCATAGTAATTGGCATGTTGTAGTCAATCATGCTGGTCACCAAAGTAGGAGGTTTTCCATTATCTGGAATAAAACATTTTTAATGGGTAATGAAAGTGATACCATATTCTACCTGTAATTTCAGAATGACTCAATTTATCCAAATGGAAACAAGATTCTAGAGATCAAGTCTTTAAAAGGCTGGCAGCAGTGTAGATGGATTTCAGGGGCAAAATAATAACTACAAAGGTTCTACAAAGGTGTAGCAATACAATTAACAATATGGATAAATCAGTTATTTCCAACTACAGAAGAGTTTTTTGTAAATATCTTCAGTAATAACAAAATAAAGCTAATATGCAAAATAAGTACAATTATTTGCATTTTTCCATTGTTGTGTAAATTATATTCTATGTGTACTTTGTGAGTGCCAAAGGAAATTTTCTCCATTTTTAAACATTTTTTACCAGGTAATTCATTTTACAACATTTTGAAGTATAAAAAATGCATCTGTGAGGTTAATTTGAGAGAGGACATATTTATGAAAAAAATCTAGATAATATTTAATGAAAGCTAAAGTCATATCACAATTTTTATGTAAAAATTTCATTGAATAGATTTTAGCATTAGTCATGATTATTAAAAATTATGAATTGGCAGATTTAAAAGGACATACACAAATCAGTTTACTAAATCTATCTAAAATACCATGAAATAATACAATGAATGGAAATTAAAACACTATTATACAAAAAAAAGTTATTTGCCACAGTTGAAGCAGTATTTCTTCTAGGAATGGGCACTGAATTACTTTCTAAGTAAATATTCAAAATTCACTGCCTCCTACTTGAATAAATGAGATTATCTGACTTCTTGAACTGTTTCAGGCTATCACATTTTTATAAAAATGTGAGATATAAATTTCTATTATGAATAAAATTACTTTAAATCTCACTATTTGACACTGTGGCTACCTTTATGATCTGTTCCATCTGGGTTTAAATGCATTCTTTTCTGGCACTCTGAGCAGCTCATTAGAAACCGTGTCACCGCTTCTCTTGGTAGGAAGGCATAGCTCTCTGAAATCTGAAATGATTCACAAAATATAGGCATTATTATATAAGCTGACTGAGCATGATTTAACAGAAACAACCATTGTATTTCCAAATAAGACGCATTATTCCATAATGGCAGGAAGCACAATGGAAGCATGCACTGCATACCATGCATCATTTCAAGAAATATCTATCCAACTTGATTAGATGTCTCTTAATCATAACCAATAATGCCATGTGGAGAAAAAAATCAACCACATCTGGATGTGTATCTGTTTATATTTCTGCATTTCTTTTCAGAAAATAATCACAGTGTACAGAAAATCTAGTGAATTTTCCTCTTTATTAAAAATTGCCAACATTGTTTTAAAACACACTGCTAGCATGATCAAACTTATATCCAATTTCAAAATTTAGCCCTAAGTAGAAACAATTAACTTTAGATTTTCCATAAGGAGTTTTCCTTTATTATTATTTTATGAAAATTTCAAATAAGAATAAAAGACAATTCAAACAAACTCATGTATATATTTACTGCAGTTAATCATCCCTTCCACAGAAAATGACACATCTGGAAATGCACTTAGGCCATCTATTTATTTCATGTAGGTTTTTCATAATTTAACTTTCATAATAGCTTACATCAATGGTCACAGGTAGGATAGACTTCTCCTGCACCCTAGATAGAACTTAATTTTCAGAATCATGATCTAGAATCATGTTAGAAATCAGTACTCCATGAAAATGATTTTCTTAAAACTGACTTTCCTAACCCCAAGAAATTTCTCACATCAATGTAAATGATTCCTGAAGTGAAAGCGTTAAATTGTTAAGTATCTCTAAATAAACTCTGTCACTGACTGAGACAGTTGTATGAAGAAATCTGAAACAGGGTTACGGCTTCCCACCACAGCACTAATCTTGGGGCAAACTTGGGATAAGTGGAGCAATAAATGAGCTGTAAATTAGACGTAAATGCCAAAGATGACTTCTCAGATGCATGCACAGCTGTTATGAACACTGATTTAAGTTAGTAGAAAGGAAGAAAAGTATGCACCAAATGTATATTTGAGTGTAATTATGTGCTAATTCCCTTTGTGGTGATGGGATCAACTTTTGCTTATCCAGCATTAAGGAAACCCCACAAAGATCTAACGCAAGTAAACCTCATTTTTCTATGAATTCAGTTTTAAAATCTGTCTGCATCACATAGAGAGCACCACTGACTTTCACGGAAAATAAGCGGTAAGGACACCCAAGAGGAGGAGCAATGCTACCTTTAGAATTCGCTGTAGATGATGTACATGCAGGTAATTAGAATTCAGTGCTACTAGGATCAGAAATATGAAACTGTAAGGTTTAAATATAATTTGTAAATTAAGATGTGCATATTTTTTAAAAAGTACTACTTCGAATGAGGCTGGTATTATGGGGGAAAAAGCAATGATCAGAATGTATTTTGTTGAAATGTTAAATATTAGTTACTGAAAAAGTATATATAGATATACATGTAATTTAATTTCTCCTTTATTGTCTCACTCATCTCTTCTCTCCCTTTCAGTACAAACATACATCAGAGTACTTCAAAAGTTCACGAAAACAAGAATTAAAGCCTAAGTTTATTTTGAGGCAAAAAAAATCTTTGAATCCATAAACAATTTTTTTCTCAAATACATTTCCCATGATCTTTTTAAAGTCCCTTGAGATATGGATTTCTAAAATTTTTCTACCAAAATAAAGTTATCTTTTGATTCTATACTTTTAGAAACTTTAAAAAATTTATTTATTTAATTTATTAATTTGAAAGACAGACAAAGAGGTCTCCCCTTTGCCATTTCACTCCCAAAATGCCTATGATAGTGAGGACTGGCTCAGGCTGAAGCCAGGAGTCTGAAACTCAATCCAGGTTTCCAATTTGGGTGACAAGGAGCTACTAAAGCCAATCCTGCAGCTCCCCAAGGTGGGGAATTGGAGGAAGTTGGAGTCAGGAGTGCAGCCAGAACTCAAACTCAGGTACTCAGATATGGAATGCAAGCACTGCACACAGTATGTTAACTACTATACCAAGTACTCACTTCTCTACAAACTTTTTGAACTAACCTCAAATGCACACATGAATTTGATTCTTGTTTTCCTACTTTTACAGAGTGGATTAATACTTTTCATCTGACTTATTTACATGTTTTCTTGGAGATTAGTTTTTTTTCTGAGTCTCTGAAATCTCTCTTACTATAGTTCAAAAGTTTAAAAAAGACTGTGGTGCATGCTCAGTCCTGATATTTTACACTTTAACACACATGGAGTTAGAGTCCATTGGAACTAATGCAGTTGCCCAGCATATTTGCTAACAAACATAATTTAAGGAGAATGTTGCATTGATTTTCATAAAGGATTTCTATTCAAACTTTTCTCTATTTATATGAGAGAACCCTCAAGAAAGATGAGTGATGGAGTTAGAGAGACACTCCATTTGTTCCCAAGGCCTCGATGCTCTGAGGAATCTACTCCTTTCCAAAAGTTATTGTATTACTTGTGCAGAAATCTCTTCTGGATCTATTTATCATGGCCTTGCTTCAATTCTATGACGCTACTTAATACTGCATGACTCAAATCAATTTTTCTTGGAATCATTACTAATCATATCACATTATTTTCATACTTAATATTCTTAAAAACAACTGCATGTGATGGTCACAAATACATTTGTGTGGGGCTGGTATTGTGGCTCAAAAGGTTTGAGTCCCAGCTGCTCCACTTACAATCCAGCTACCTGCTATTGTACCTGGGAAGGCAGCTGAAGATGGCCCAAGGCCTTGGACCCTTGCAGCCACATGAGGGACCAGGAGGAAGCTCCTGACTCTAGAACAGCCAGCTCCTGTCACTGAGACCATTTGGGGAGTGAACCAGAGGATGGAAGATCTCTCCCTGTGTCTCTCTCTCTGTAACTTTGCCTTTCAAATAAAATAAACAAATCTTTTTAAAAAAAACTCCCCACTTTATACCTTAGAAAAAGATGTTTAAGCAAGTATTTAAGCATATTATTCTCTCTTGTGTGGCTCTGACATTTGGCAAGTCTCTGTTATATAAGATAATAACAATATTTGGGGATACATTTTTGGTATTCAGAGCCCATTTTATGGGGAGACCTGTCAACCCACCACATTCCCCTCCAATCTTTTCTTCCCCATTTACTGATTCTTGGGCACAGAGAAGAAAAATCCTCTATGAAGGTTCATGTCTGAAATGATATTTAATTTTCAGGAACAATATTTATCCTGCCATGGAGATGAAGAGAGAAAACAATTTCTTTCTCTTTGTCCAGAATATTTTGTCCAGACCTGTTTGAAATTAAGAGTCCTGGGATTTTCACGAGTGATGTCACACTGATAATGGAATAGGAGGTTCTAGTGCTCAACCCATCACAGAAACATCAACTTGAACAACCATGTCTGCACCTTAATACCTTCACAAGAGCTAAAGAGATTATAGCACCCAGATAGAACAGACACAAGAAAAGGCTCAACCAAAAAGGAAGAAAAGACAGTTTCACATTGCCCATATCAAATTTCCCTCAAACCCACATAGCACAGCTTGGACAAAGATGAGAAACACCTTCCATAAGGCAGAAGGAAGATAAAGTGAGCACTCAGCTTCAATTTCACGCTGGATTCCAGTGACAGGCTCTCCCTTGCATCCCAGATTCCAGCTTTTTATATATAGTCAAAGCTATGTTCTTAAATAATTTATTGTTACTATAAGATTTTTGTCCATGGTAAAAAGAAAATAACCTATAGTAAATATACAAAATGTAAAGGACAAGAAATCAAAACATAGGACTCTATAAAGTCATCAAATGTGAAAGAAAGGCTATAAGACAGGAAGGAGGGAACCACAAAGCAGAAAACAATTAATAACATGATAATAGTAAGTCTTTACTTGTCAATGAATGCTCTTCTAAAACCCTTAATTCAACTATATATTTGGCAACGTAACATTTTCAGTGAAAATACTATATTATAAACCCAGGATGACTAGAGTTTGTCAGGAACAGAGTACAATGAATTGCTATCACAAATTAAAACTAAAAATGACCTCTGCTATCCAAAAATCATATGTCTACATAAAAACAATTGGCCGGTGCCGCGGCTCAATGCGCTAATCATCTACCTGTGGCACAGGCACACAGGGTTCTAGTCCAGGTCACCCCTCTTCCAGTCCAGCTCTCTGCTATGGCCTGGGAGTGCAGTGGAGGATGGCCCAAGTGCTTGGGCCCTGCACCCGCATGGGAGACCAGGAGAAGCACCTGGCTCCTGGCTTCGGATCAGCGCGGTGCGCCGACTGCAGCAGCCATTGGGAGGTGAACCAACGGAAAAGGAAGACCTTTCTCTCAGTCTCTCTCTCACTGTCCACTCTGCCTGTCC